AAAAACTATACTGTTGGCTCTAATTAGAGTTTGCTTGATGAATTGTTCAACTCAGCAAAATAGTCAACTCAGTGAAGAAAAACATTCAAAGTAGTTATTTACTTAATGAGCTGATTGACTGCAATGAACTGTCAGTAAATGCAGTCTATTTGAAAATCCCATGTAGTCAGTGTAAAAGCATCAAATAGGTTGTTTGGCATTGTATGAGCTATGTGTAGGTTGACTGAATTTTTAAACTTTTTCAATTGGTTATGTTTGGGGTTGAGTAGGTACTGTCTTAGGTCATATGTTGCTTTCAGCAGTTAATATTAAGTCTACCTCATTTTCCCTTTAATTACGTAAAATGTGAAACTAACTGCCTTTGCAAGCAATAAAAAATACAAGGCAAGATTAAAATCCCATTTATCTTTCTACAATCAGATTATAAATTTCCTAAAAATTTCAAACATTTGGATAGCTAAACTATCATTTGCAAGGTTAAAATAAGCTGTAGTGTAGTGTCTTTCTGCCAAAAGTAATATTGTTCTGATCCAAAAGAAAATCAAGAACAAATACCATGACATATTAGAAATGAATGTCTAACCTGGTAAGGGAAGATTTAAGAGAGGACAGGACTGCTGTCTTCAGATATTTGAAGAGTTTCGTGTGTAACAGGCAGTAGATTTTATTTGGCTTTGACAGGCAAAACTGAAAAGGTTGAAATGACAGGGATACTTTTTTCTTTTTTTCTTTTTTTTTCTTTTTCAATTACAGTTGACGTTCAATATTATATTAGTTTCAGGTGTACGGTATAGTAGTTAGACTAACATATGAAGTGATCCCCGTGATAAGTCTTCTACCCACCTGACACCATACATAGTTATTACCACATTATTGACTATATTCCCTAAGTTGTACTTTATATCTCCATGGCTATTTTGTAACTGTCAAGTTGTACTTAATACCGTCACCCTTTTTATGCATCCTCCCACTTTCTCTCCAATCTGGCAACCATCAGTTTCTTTTCTGTATCTATGAGTGTGATTCTGTTTTATTTGTTCATTTATTTTAAGTTTCCACATATAAGTGAAATCATGGTATTTGTCTTTCTCTGTTTGACTTATTTCACTTACCATAAAACCCTCTAGGTTCATCCATGTTGTCTCAAATGGTAAGATTTCATTATTTTTTATGGCTGAATAATATTCCATTACATATATGTACCACTTCTTTATCTATTCGTCTTTTGATTGAAGCATTTAATCCATTTACATTTAGAGTAATTATTAATAGTTATGTAGTTATTGCCATTTTATTGTTTTCTGATTGTTTTTGTAGTTTTTTTCTGTTCCTTTCTTATTCTCTTGCTCTCTTCTATGTTAGTGACTTCCGGAGTTTTGAGTTTAGATTCTTTTCTCTTTATTTCTTGTATATCTCTTGTAAATTTTGGGTTTGTGGTTACCATATGCTTTATATATACCAAGCTATGTTTATAGCACTCTATTTTAAATTGATGGTCACTTAAATTGGAACACATTTTAAAAACACTACTATTTTTACTCACCCACTCCACACATTTTGTTGCTGTTTTTACTTATTTTGTGTATTTGTGTGTATTCTTTAATTTACTATTGTAATTACACATGATTTTCCTACTTTTTGTCTTTTAACTTTTGTACTAACTTTAAGGTTGGTTGATTCGCTGCTTTTATTATGTGTTTGCCTTTGTCAATAAGAATTTTATTTCTTTGTGACATTTTCTTTTTCATAATTTTTATTTTCTTCTTCTTCTTAAAGAAGTCCCTTTAACATTTTTTGTTGTTGTTATATTGATTTGGTGGTGATGAACTCCTTGAGTTATTTCTCCATCTCTCCTTTGATTCTAAATGATAGCTTTACTGGGTAGATTAATCCTGGTTGTATGTCCTTGCTTTTTATAATTTTAAATATTTTTTGCCCATCCCTTTTAACAAAGTTTCTGTTGAGAAATCAGCTGACAGTCTTATGGGAGCTCCCTTGTAGCTAACTAATGGTTTTTCTCTTGCTGCTTTTAAGATTCTCTCTTTGTCTTTACACTTCAGCATTTTAATTATGATGTATCTTGAATCTTCGGCATTTTAATTATGATGTGTTGGTGTGGGCCACTTTGGATTCATTTTGTTTGAGACTCTCTGTGCTTCCTGAACTTGTATGTCTATTTCCTTCACCAGGTTAGCGAAGTTTTCAGTCATTACATCTTCATATATGTTTGAAGTACCTTGCTCTCTCTCTCTTTTCCTTTAGGTACCACTATTATGCGAATGTTATTATAATTGATGTTGCCCCAGAGGTCCCTTAAGTCAGGGGACCCAACCCCCAGGCTGCAGACTGGTACTGGTCCATGGCCTGTTAGGAACCAGACTGCACATCAGAAGGTTAGCAGCGAGTGAGAGAGCCAAGTTTCATCTGTATTTACAGCCTCTCCCCAGTGCTAATCAGCATCACTGCCTCGGTTCCACCTCAGATCATTCAGCATTAAATTCTCATAGGAGCACTGGTTCCTGGAGCTAAAAAGGTTGGGGACTGTTGCACTATCTTCAGGTTTTTTTTTTTTTTAATGCTTTTTTTTCCTTTTTGTTGTTCCAATTAGGTGTTTTCTGCTACCTTGTCTTCCAAATCACTGATTTGATCTTTTGCTTCATCTAATCTGATATTGATACCCTCTAATGTTTTCTTCATTTCAGTTATTGTAATATTCACTTCTGACAAGTTCTTTTTTTATGCTGTCTGTCTCTTTATTTATATTTACTATCTCTTTGTTCAAGTTCTTCCTGAGATTATCTATTTTTCCCAAAGTTAATTGAGATTCCTTATAACCAATGTTTTGAACTCTGCCTCTGGTAGATTGTTTGCTTCCATTTTGTTAAGTTCATTTTCTGGAACTTTGTTCTTTTATTTGGGACATGTTTCTTTGTCTCCTCGTTTTGGCTGATTCTCTGAATTTGTTTTTATGTATTAGGTAGATCTGCTATGTCTCTTAGTCTTTGTAGAGTGGCCTTATGTAGTAGCTGTCCTGTAGGACCCAGTGCACACAGTCTCCTTGTTCACCTGAGCCAGGTGCTTTAGGTGTGTTATTTGTGTGGATCGTATGTGGTCTCCAGTTATAGTTGAATACTGATTGACTTTGGCAAGTAAATGGGTGGCACTGATCCTCAGACTGACCAGCTAGCTGTGAAGACTTGCTGTGATTACAGTGAACAAGCTTTTGCATGGGAGCTTACCTCCTGGAGGAGGGTTCACTTTAGCGGAATGCTGGTACCTGCCAAATATACACTTTTGGTGTGTCATTTGTGGTGCCAAGTGGATGGTGCTCTGCTCTGGTCTGAAGCAAGCAACCAAGTATGTTGGTTCTGGGACTTCTTAGCAGGGGCTTCTGTGCAGGCCAAGGCCAGCCACTGCTTGTGATGGGCCTGGGGCCACCTGGTATGAACTACGAAGTGATTCATGGTTGGTATCTGCCTGTGCTGAGCTTGGAGGCACCTGGGAGTGGTTATGCTGTGAACCGAGGCCAGCTGCCACTAGTGCTTTGCTTAGGGTGGCTTGGCAAGAGGTATAGGACATACTGAGGCCAGTTCATGCTTGTTTGTGGTTTGCAGATCTTTGAGGAAGATTTTAGGAAATCACCAATGAAATATTAGTCAGTCATAAAAAAGAATTAAATCTTACCATTTGCGACAACATGGATGGACCTAGAGAGTATTATGCTAACTGAAATAAGTCAAACAGAGAAAGACAAATACCATGATTTCACTTATATGTGGAAACTTAAAAACAAAATAAATGAACAAGTGAAGGAGAAGTAAACTCACAGAGAAGAAACTATGATCATCAGATGGAAGAGGAGTTAAGGGGTGGGCAAGAAAGGTGAAAGAAATTAAACACAAATTTCCAGTTATAAAAACAGATATGTAAAGCACAACTTAGGGAATATAGTCAATAATGTTGTAATAACTATGTATGATGCCAGATGGATACTAGACTTATTGGGGTGATCATTTCAAAAAGTACATAAATGTCTAATCAGTATATTGTACACTCTGAAATTAATATTATATGCCAACTATACTTAACAATATTTTTTAAATGTGACCATTTACATTAATAGCTTTTCACTGAGTTTGCTCTGAGAATTGAAGTAGAGATAGCCCCTTTTGTTGCATCTACCACCAAATACCCTCTAGCTCTTCATGTACTTTTTGAAACGGTTGAAAAGATAGTCTCAATTAATGTGAATGTCTGAAGCTACTATAATTCTGTAAATAAACACAGATTTTTAAAGTTACAGAAGCTTCTGGAAAGTGCCATGACAATACTTAGGGATAATTTTGTCCTCAGCCAAATTCTGTAGGTGACAAATGTTATCTGAGTTATACCATCTTTTCCTAGCCCCTATTTTTCCAAGGTCTGGTGACCTGCCAGCCTTTCCCCAGGCTCGTATCCTGTGTTTCATTCCCAACAGACTCACCTCAGCTAATCTCTGATAAAGTTGCAATTTAAAATGGATTAAGTTTTCTCTCTCCCAGGGTTGAAGATAGGAAATCAGATAGATTTCAAACTTAAAATATGGATGGAGAAAACTGAAAAGCTGAAATGTGGAACATCTCGAGTGTTAAAATGTATGTTTAGGGGCTATTTTCTAGTGAGGTCTTGCTTGTTGGTTATCTCTGCAAGTTTGATTAGCCCTTCTGACTACTAAAGAGAAAACCTGATTGAGGTTATTGCCAAAATATCTATCTTTTAGATTCCTGAAAATATGTTCTAAAATACTGTTATCCATTTGTAGATTGGCATGATATTTTCTCTTTACATATGAGATGTTTTGAATTTATGAAAGTTCACACTTGAATACTTCTTTGGTAGAAAGTAAATACATTTATATACTCAAGTATGGATTGACATGCCCTTGATTCTATTCTTACTCTATTTTCTGCAGATATCATCACTCAGATGCTTTCCTTAAGGAAGGAACATAAATCTTCAAGATGAGAAGTAACAACACAAACAGTACAAGAGCAAAGTGCACTGATCTTCAAATGCCATTTCAGTACTCTCTCTATGCAACCACCTACATCTTCATATTCATCCCTGGTCTTCTGGCCAACAGTGCAGCCTTGTGGGTTTTGTGCCGCTTCATCAACAAGAAAAATAAAGCCATCATTTTCATGATCAACCTCTCTGTGGCTGACCTTGCCCATGTGCTGTCCTTGCCCCTCCGGATTTACTATTACATCAACCATGACTGGCCTTTCCAGAGGACCCTTTGTCTGCTGTGCTTCTACCTGAAATATCTCAACATGTATGCCAGCATTTGCTTCCTGACGTGCATCAGCCTTCAGAGGTACTTCTTTCTCCTCAAGCCCTTCAGGGCCAGAGACTGGAAGCGTAGGTATGATGTGGGCATTAGTGCTGCCATCTGGGTCATTGTAGGTACTGCCTGTTTGCCACTTCCAATTCTGAGAAGTACTGGCTTAGCCAATGACACCGAATCCTGCTTTGCCGATTTAGGGCTTCAACACATTAGCATGGCTTCCTCCATTGGCATGGTAACTGTAGCTGAACTTGGAGGGTTCATATTACCTGTTATAATTATTACTTACTGCACATGGAAAATGAGAAAATCTTTACAGGAATTCCAAGTTCCCCCTCAGAATACCAAAGAAAGAAAAAAGGCTTTGTGGATGGTCCTGATATGTGCAGTGGTGTTCATTGTGTGTTTTACCCCTTACCACCTCAACTTTCCACTCTTTATGATGGTGAAGCAACATGTCTTTTCAAACTGCTCTTTTATTAAGAGTACCCTATGTTTCCATATCATTTCCTTGTGTCTTGCAAATCTGAATTGCTGTCTTAATCCAGTTGTATATTATTTTATGACCTCAGAATTTCGTGGTAGATTTTCCGAACATGGTGGCCTGGTTCTTCAGTCATGCGTAAGATGCAAGGATAGTGTTTTAGAAATTCATCACAAAAAAGAGGATCTTCAAACTATCTCTCTTGAATTTTTGGATGATTCCAAGACAATGTAATCAAACAATTAGTTAGAATGACCTATATATTCTATGTCACCTTGAATTTTTAAAAAAAAAAATGGTTTTGTTGAGTGTCTTAAGAAATCATGACCCCCTTCCCTTCATTCCCCAAATGATCCTTCTGAAGTAACTATTCATTCCTATATTTTCTATCCATATAGAAACATATTCTATGGAGCCCAGAGGAAATATTTTTCTTTGAAAGAAGTGATGAGCATAGAATAAACTGAACACCTGTTTCTCAACAGTGGGTCCAGGCTTTTCACCTTCTCTGTAAAACAGAAACAAACAAAAACAAAAACAAAACAACAAAGCAAAAACCAAAATGTAAATTGAAAACAAGAGGACATAAGAGTGTTTCAAACACTTAAAAATGTATAGGAGAGCAATATTATCCTGGTTTTATTTAGAAAATACACACTACTTGAACAAAGTAGATTAAAGAGGAAACTATTATTAATATTAATAGGAATTATAAGAATTAATGTTCTTATAACTTGAAATATCTAGGAGACTTCCATTTTCTCCCCTTGGGAAAACAAACGAACAAACAAAAAATCAAATTCATCTCAAATATCTCAAAAGTATCAAGAAATTCACACAAAACATATACACCTTAAACATGAAATAAAGTTGTATCTGACATATTCCACAAACTACAGAATTTCAAGGTTTGCAATGAAAGCTCTTTGCTTGAATGTCTGTGAATGTGTGTGATATGACGCATGCTTTTACATATTGGCACTCATTCAGAAAATATTATGTTATATTTGTTTATTACAACCAACTGTGCTATGGTCTGCCTTGATTAATTATATACAATGGCAGTCAAAATTTTGCTTGATAGATTTAAACAGAGTTAATGGAGACTCATGGACATGCATTTAGTTTTTCAGGTGGACTTCATTTCTCCCAGGTAAAGATGTATATAAGGAAAACATTGGTGAATTTAATTCAAAATGCAAAATGAAAAATTACTATTTTTAAAAAAAAATTGTGATTAAATAATTTTGTAATATGCATCATTCCCATTGGGAAATTTGAAACTTAAAATTTTATATATTGGGTTTTATTAAAATAGTACTTAAAAAAGCAGTGGTAAGTTTTATAAAATAACACTTATGTGCTAGATAACAATATTTCTCAGTCAACGATGAACCACATGTTCCCGTATGATTATAAGGGGGTTGAAAAATTTTTATCATCTAGTGACATCATAGCCATCATAACATCATAATGCAATTGCTCACATTTTTCTGGTAATGCTGGTGTAAATAAACCTACTATGCTGCCAGTTATATAAATGTATGGCACATACAATTTTGCACAGTACATAATATTTGATAATGATAATAAATGACTATGTTACTGGTTTATATATTTACTATATTTTTATTATTACTTTAGAGTGTACTCTTTCTACTTATGAAGAAGAGTTTACCATAAAACAGTATGTTGTATAACACCAGCAGCAGGCTTATACATCTCATACTTACCATGTCTCTTGATTGCATCATTTTCTCTTGTGCTTGATTTAAATCTGTATTGTTTTGTTTTATTGTGTTATAACATGCTGTATAGGCTTGTAGCCTAGGAGAAATAAACTATATATACCAGATAGATTAGGTGTGTAGTAGGATATATCATTTAGGTTTGTGTAAGTACACTATATGATGTTTGTATAACCACAAAATTGCCTAATTATGCATTTTTCAGAATGTATTTCCATCATTAAGTGGTACATGGCTGCATAAAGATTTATTTTCTTATCTTTATATGATTGGAAATTCACAAAATGTTTTATTTGTGTTAATTTTGTGTAACAGTGATTACCTATCCCCCCCCCCCCAAAAAAGGCTAAAACCTAAGTTCTCTGAAGTCCTCTAGGGATTTATATTTTGCACAGTTGTATCCCATAGAAATGTTCGAGTAGCTCTTTAAGTACCTAAATATTTAAAACACCATTTTAGGAGGAATATTTCTAAATTATATTCTTTCCTACGCATTTAAGCAATTTGTTTTAAACAAGAGGATATGGTGTATGAAGGAAACATTAATCCAGATTCAGACCAGGATCCTAGTTTCAGGTCTGTCACTGATAAGCTATGTGACTTTGTGTTTTTTTTTTTTTAATTAAATTTATCGGGATGACATTTTTTGATACAATTATATAGGTTTCAAGTGTACAATTCAATAATAAGTTATATGTATATTGCATTGTATGTTTACCACTTAAAGCTATGTGACTCTGAGCAAATTACTTCCCTTTGGGTTTTATTTTTATTATCTCTCCATAAGGGAACTAGACTAAATGATCTCAATATAAGCCATATTTTTTGGAATGTGCTTTCCAAACTCTAAACCACATTTACAAATATCATTTTTGTTATTATTCATATTATTACTGTAATTAAGAAGAGCTTCCACTCTAACATTTAATGTAATCTTTTCAGGATGACCGAAGGTCATTGTTAGAAATATCAGTTATTGTACTGTACACAGTTGCTTCTCTCAGAGCTATTTAAATCTGTAGAATTGCTTGTACCTACACTAAAACTGCTCTATGAATTTTTAGTTTTGATATATTTGATTTTATAAGCACATCTTTATCTATCTTTTCAGGCTATCTGTTTTTACTTTTGCCAGTGGGACTATTTAATAAGTCCCTATAATTTTAATTAGTATTTTCTAATATTTTATAGCTTTGAAATACACTAATCAAACTAGTGTGACAATTTAACAAAAATGAGTAAAGCTTGCTTATTTTATTTTATTTGGAGAGAATGTATGTAGAATAGGGAAAATATCCTATGGAACAAAGTGTATGGGTTTTAGTTTATGGACTTTACAACATCTATTTTGCCTATGCAGAACTATTTTGCTCCCTTCCTGATTCTCTTGTCTTTGTTTGGATAGCTGAGTTTCCTAGATATTTGAGGTCCAGTTGGCCAAGGTGTGACTAGCTATTTATAATACCAACAATTTCTTGGACTATAAATATCACCAGGTAATATATATGTATATATGTATGTATGTATATATGTATATGTAAATACATACATACATATATACAAATATCACCAGTTAATATATATGTATATATGTATGTACGTATATGTATATATGTATGTATATATATATTTAAATTTCCAAAATCATTACTTGTTTTTCTTAGGGAGGTCTTCTGCTCACTTTGGATATTGCTCCCTTCCTCTTTAGGGGCACTTAGTAGAAGTAGGACTTGAAATACATTATTTTTTGAACTTGGCTTATTGTTATCATGAGTAATAAACATTATCCAAAATATTTGAAGAAGCACAGAAAACAGAATGCCTTACCAACTTTCTTGAAGTTATCGAGATTCTCCAGAATGCTCCAATTTACTCCTACTTCTATAGGAGGGACTATATGCAGTCACATCGATCCATATAGCCAACTCCATCTCTCTATTCCCTGTTCCCAAAAATACTGGAGTGCAGGAGTTCTAAGAATGCCAAGCTTGAGACAGCTGTAATGAATTGATAATAATTAGTTAGACAGGTTTTAGTACTATATCAGCCCTTTCTTAACTGTGTGGTCTTGAGCAAGACACTTTACCACTCTATCACTCTAAAGCTCTTTTCTTATCTGCGATATAGTGATAATAGTCTCTCTTGTAAAAATCCAATAAGAAATGTAGATGAGAATTTTTTTTTAACTATAATAATTATTTAAACATAAGAACACAGGGAGAAGTATTATTAAGAAAAGAATCAGGAAAGGGAAATAAAGTGTCCCCCTCAACCCTTAACAACACAGAAGGTATTGTTAATTATTTTGAGCAACCTATTAGCGTAGAAAATATGAAGATTTGAAATAGTTCACAGGGTTAAGGCAATATTGGCTGAGACCCCGAGGGTAACACAAAGAGCCATTTACCTTAACTCATACCATAAGTTAGTTAGGTCTAGACTTTCTGAGCAGTGAGTTGTGATTAGGGTAAAGGATCTCTGAAGAAATCAAATATCAGAAATTGACCATAGCCTTAGGGAAACAATGAAGATACAATAGTACACAGTGTCTCCTATGGACGAATTCCATAGATAGAAGGCAAGGTCTCCAGAGCTTTATGAAGGAATAGATTTGAAACAAACTCAGAGGAACCTACAGTTGTAAAGGAGAGTTTAGGGCAGGAATAGGTAATCAAGCAGCACTGTTTGGACATGAATACATTTGTTGAGGGGCATTTAAAGGTTTAAATTACTTCATTCATTTCAGCTCTACAGTCTAGTTAAACATATTGGAATATCAAATCTGCATAAATACTGCATAAATATGAAATACGCAAAAATTCAATTTCCTTAAAAAGTTGTTAAACATACATACTTCTGTTTTTTCCCAGTTTCTCTATCATATATGCCTTTGTTTTTCCTCTATCTAATCTTACAAATTATTTAAGATTCAGCTTAAATCCTACTTTACTGTAAAACCACATTATCTCCTCTACACAGTAAAGTCCTTGAAGGTATCCCTCAAGGAGAGTATAATATGTTGTACTCCACAACATATTGAAATTGAACCCAATTTCTTACCAGGATATTAAGACTTTGATAGTACGTTTCTGTTGCTAGATTAATTAAGACTTGCATATTTCTCTCACTTTGGGAGACTGCATTTGAGGTAAAAACTAGTGAGTTTATTGATAAATGGAGATCCTGTAGTTAATCTAGTTCTATCAGCAACACACAAATGGTAGGTACTAAATAAATGCTTGTTGAGTGATTTAGAGAACAAGCTGATGGTTACCAGATGGGAGGGGAGAGGGAGGGGGAGGGGCTGGGTGAAAAAGATGAAGAGATTAATAAGTATAATTTGGTAGTTATAAAATAGTTATATCACCAGAAATAAAATATAGCATCAGGAATATAGTCATTAATATTGTAATAATTATGTATGGTGCCAGGTGGGCACTAAAGTTATCAGAGGAATCACTTCATAAAGTATATAAATGTCTAACC